AGGGACCAACCCCAGGGACCAGCCCCAGGGACCAGCCCCAGGGACCAACTCTAGGGACCAACCCCAGGGACCAACCCCCAGGACCAACCCCAGGGACCACAGCCTTAGCTGTGGAACTCTGCGGCCCTTCCAGTTTGGGGAGGGACTGGAAGCCTGGGGGGCACAGCGTGACCTCTTCCACAAACCTCCCTGCAGATGGGCACCAACAAATGTGCCAGCCAGTCGGGCATGACCGCGTATGGCACGAGGAGGCATCTCTACGACCCCAAGAACCACATCCTGCCCCCCATGGACCACTCCACCATCAGCCTCCAGATGGGCACCAACAAGTGTGCCAGCCAGGTGGGGCTTCCTGCGTCCCCAGACCCCCCCCATCCCCTGTGGTATCAGCCCCTTCCCAAGACCGCCTCTGGCTTCCCTCCCAGCTCTGTCTCCACTTTGCATTTCAGCCTCTGCCACTGTTTCCACCTGGCTGTGGGCCCCTGGGGAAGTCACTACCCCACCCTGCCTTATTGCCCCTTAAGGATTGCTCAAAGGCCCACCCAGTTCTAGTTTTTATTTATTTTATTGATCTATTTATTTTGAGACTGGATCTCACTCTGTAGCCCTGGCTGGAGTGCAGTGGTGCGATCTTGGCTCCCTGTCACCTCTGCCTCTGGGCTCAAGCGCTCCTCCCAACGCAGCCTTCCAGGTAGCCGGGATTACAGGTGTGTGCCACCACACCTGGCTCAGTTTTGTATTTCTAGTAGAGATGGGGTTTCACCATGTTGGCCAGGCTGGTCTCGAACTCCTGACCTGCGGTGATCCGCCCATCTCGGCCTCCCAAAGTGTTGGGATCACAGGCACCCGGGGAAAGTCCCCTCTTCTCTCTGCCGTGACGTGCCCCACCTCTCCCCCCTCTCCAGGTGGGCATGACGGCTCCCGGGACGCGGCGGCACATCTATGACACCAAACTGGGAACCGACAAGTGTGATAACTCCTCCATGTCCCTGCAGATGGGCTACACGCAGGGCGCCAACCAGAGCGGCCAGGTCTTCGGCCTGGGCCGGCAGATATACGACCCCAAGTACTGCCCGCAAGGCACTGTGGCCGACGGGGCTCCCTCCGATGCTGGCGACTGCCCGGACCCCGGGGAGGCCCCTGAATATCCCCCTTACTACCAGGAGGAGGCGGGCTACTGAGGCTCCCAGCGCGCTCTCTCCCCACGCCGTCTCCCCGTCTGGGTTTCTGGGTTTTTCTGTGTTTTCATCTTTTTTTTATTAACCTGTTCAGTGCTGCCAATCAGCTGAGGGTCTGTGAGTGGCTTTCTCCCCCTTGCCTTGGTCCTTCGCAGGACTGAGCCACCAGGCTGGGGGGGGGAGGGGTCAAGGCCGTATCCTGATGCCTGTAGGGTCAGGGTCCCTGCTGCCCATCCAGGCTGTGGGCCAGGCTGTGCTGGGGAGAAGAGGCCTGGGCTTGGAGGGAACGGGTCCCTGAAGACTTCCGGTTGCCTCGTCTCTTCTCATTTTGTCACCCGATCAGTTTGTGGTTTCTGTACCCACAAAAGTTTCAGGAAGTAGTAACAAAAGAAAAATACTTCCCCCCCCACCCCCGACAAGGAATGGGGCGGGGACAGTGGAGAGGGTGCTGGGCAATGAGTCCCCTGGAAAGGGGGCCTGGCCACGCTGCTGAGTGTCTCGGGCTCCCAAGTGGCTGGGTTTCCCTCCGACCCCCAGACCTGCCCCGGGGCCTGGTGGGGAAAGTGAGGCCTGCACAAGGAAGCGGAATTCTGAGTTGCTGGGGCCAAGCCTGACCCCGTCTGCATGCGACCCCGCCCTCCCCGTAGCCTCAGTGGGTGTTTTTTTAGTGTTGTGTTGCACAGGCTGGAGTGCCGCAGGGCAATCTTCGCCCACTGCACCTCCCCCTCCCGAGCTCCACGGATTCCCCGGCCTCAGCCTCCCAAGCAGCTGGGACTGCAGGTGCGCCACCACGCTGGCTAATTTTTGTATTTTTGGTAGAGACAGGGTTTCACCATGGTGGCCAGGCTGGTCTCGAACTCCTGGCCTCAGGTGATCCCCGCCCCCC